AGAATTATACTGGGTATAACAGTAAAATATTAAGAAAATTATGCTGGGTTTGACAGCAAAACAAGATGATTATACTGGGAATAACAATAAAGATAAAAATAATTATGCTGGGATTGACAGTAAAAACGATGATTATACTGGGAATAACAGTAAAACCTAAGAAGGCTATGCTGTGATTAACAGCCAAAAGAGGATGATTAAGAGGAAGATTATATACTGGGATAAACTTTTAGAAATAAAGATGACAATGCTGGAATTGATACTAATAATGAAATGATTATGTTGTGATTAAAAAGGTCAAGCTGAGATAAATAGTAAAATGAAGATGATAAATTCTAACAGTTAAAATATTGCGTAAATATTTTGTTGATTTATGTCTTTAAGATATATCCATCCATGTTAAAAGGAAAATAAATTGAAATGATATTGAATTAAGGATTTTAAGATTAGTGTAATGGGTTTTAAGAATTTTTTCTTTTTTCAGATAGAGTTTAGGGTAATAATGTTAGAGAAAATTAAGTGCTATTTGGAAACTAAGGTTTGTGGTGAAATAATAGAAGGTAATTGATTTGTGTAAAAAAATATAAGTTAGGATTTTTTTTACTTTTTTTATGGTAATTAGCGGGGATTTGGGAAAAGCTTTTGTTAAAGAGGAATTAGTAATTGTACCTACTTATGACCGGATCAATGGCTTGTTCTGAAAAGATTTTTGTATGTTTATGTGTTTTTTTTAAAAAAAAATGTTCAAAAAAAAAGAAGAAAATTGCCATCTCAATTTCTTCTTTTGTTTCCTCCATTCATTGAGAAAGTTATTCAAGAGAACTGCAAAGGGACAAGCAGCTCTGTTCCCCCCTTATCTATCTGCTAGTCTTATCTATTACAACCTCCTACATTTATTTAAAGTCAAACCCTTTTCATAGACTGGATTTGAGTCCAGCAGTGTGAGTCTTAATCAGAGGTCTTCAAACTTGGCAGCTTTAAGACTTGTGGATTGGCTGGAGAATTCTGGGAGTTGAAGTCCACAAGTCTTAAAGCTGCCAAGTTTGAAGACCTCTGCTCGTAATGTAGGCAGAAGTCTGTCAGGATCTTTCATTGAGTGCTATCCCAAGGAGGTTATTGGGCCTTACGGAGTTAAATCCTTCAGTATGTTTCGTTCTTAGATTGTGGAAATAAATTCTTCCTGGGACTTTAAATTCTTAAAGTCCTGCTGAAAAAGAGATTTAGAGTCTGGAAGTTGATCAACTATTCCAGGCTCAGCCAAAGGTCTAGTATAGTTCAGAATGAGTAGCTCCAGAAGCAGATTCTTTATATAGATTACCCAAAACATGTAGAGCACAATTTTTCTTAAACTGTGAAGTTCAGTTTCACTGAGGTGGGTGGGTGGGTGGGTGGGATAAATGATAGGCTTGGAACTAGAAAATTCACAGCTTAATTATGTATCTCTTTAACTTTTGTGAATTGAACTGAGAAAAACTGTTTAAATGCTGCTGATGAATAATCAAATGACCAAATAAATATATCCGAATTCCAGATTTCTTCCTCAGGGTTGTTGAGAAAAATATAAGTTTATATTTTTTTATCTTTTGTGAAGGAAAGAAAACCATCTCAATAGTGCTGAAGTGCAATGTTTATCAGTGCACTGGATTGATAGGTATTCTTGCCATTAGACATTTGAAATAGTGCATTATTTGAAACTATTTGAACATCTACATTTTATCCAACCTCAGCGTAATTTGGTGATTCTTGCTTGGATTTGTAGCTTTCATTTCTACAAGGACAAATCTCTTAAATAGTAAGCCAACTGGCCTACTTAGTTTGCATAATATAGTTTTAATCTTTTCAATTATTATCCAGATTTCTCTAAAGAAGTCTTTAACGTAGAGGCAGTTCTCCAGGTATAACTGTTTGTCTAACATCTCTTTGTAGTTATAACTGCCTCAGAAAGGGTGCTTTACATTTCATTAAGCATTTCCAGCCATTGTAACATATTGTGCCACTCCCCCTGGATCACATGACTGCATTTTAGGCTCATGGCAATCGGCTGACATTTGCAAATGATTGCAGTTATGTGACAGCATTTTGAAATACTTTTTATCAGTTTTTGGCATTTTTGCAAAAATGCCTATTTGGGGAATGGTTTCAGGGTTACAACTTACAACCATGTGATTCACTTTATAACTGCTGTAGAAATGGTTGTAAAATCAAGCCTGGACCTTTGGGTGCCATGAGTTACAATCATAAGTTATAACACTTATGAAATATAGCCATATATAGCCATATCACAAAGAAAAAGACAAACAAATACCAAAACAACAGGATATTGTTTCTGTGCTGTGTCCTGCCCAGTAAGAAGTGAAAGCTTAGAATGCTAATGACATACTTTAATATCCCAAGACAATAAACTTGTGCTCTTTAAACATTGATAGCCTAAATTTACAACTAAATTATCTTTAAAAGACTAGCTGATATGATGACATTCTGTACATTCTGTGAGAGTCTAAAATGATAACTGTTCATATGTAATATTAAAATATATAATCACACATGGATTATATTTGATTTCATATTAGACCCATTTATATATTGAGTAATATAAATACATTTAATCTAAGTTGCTAGGCTGACCTAGAGAACTATATATCAAGTAAAACCTTTAATATCAAAATATACTAATAAAACTGTTTTTTATGGCTCATATTATAATGACATTTGTTCGTACCATAAAAATGGCATGAAAAAGTGTTTTGGGAAATCAACAACAGCTTACATGAGTTGGTAGAATATCGATGAGTAAGAAAAGTCAAAGGTACAGAGAAAAGTTTATTTAGCATTAGCCTGCCCTGCAGGAATAGCTACTAACCTCAAGATGGCTACTGTAGTTAAAAACATGTATAGAACAATGTGTCAATTTCTCATTAGTTTTGTGTGCTTTTGCATTATAGAGATAAACTTTACATGTTGAAATATACAAAAATACTTTGATGTCTATGTGGTATTTTGAAAGATTGATTGGGCATGTGTACTGCTTTATTAGCTTGGTTTTTCCTTGTACCTAACAAATCTGGTTAGAGATAAGGGAGAAGGATCTTTGATTGTGTTTTCATGTAAACTGCATAGCACACTAGCAACTCTTGCGTGAATCAGTTCATGAATTTCAGATGAAGGAGGGAAACATGGCTGATCTCACTTTGCTACTATTCTATGCCTATTCCTACTTATTTACCTAATACACTATAGATGTGATTAAAAGACACTTGATCATTCCATGTTATGTCCTGCCTAGCCTTCAATGTGATAAGAGACCCAAAGAACCATTTTCTTTGAATGATCTTAATGTGTCCTGACATGCATTCCTCATAATCCTTCGTCTGACTAAGATTTCCTGCCCAACTTTTGTTTTCCAGTGAATTACATAATGCTTTATACACACAACTCCCTATCAGTAAGGCAAAATGGATTGGGGCACAATGCTTAGAAGAATAAATTGAGAGAATCACATTAATTTTTTTTTTAAAAGCCTAATAACATTCAAATGATTGTCTTTAAATAAAACAATTGGAATATGTTGGGGAGAACAATGAGAGAGGGATAGAAAATTGCTAAGCAAACCATTTTAAGGAAGATCAAACAAGTATGTGAATGATAATAAAAAAATATAATTGGTTTTTGTGAAAAGAGAGTAGTCTCATATATGCAAATGCACAAAAAGATCATGTGTAATAATAGAATATAATTTCAGTGACAATAATTATATACACATCTGGTTCTTTTTCTGTACTCATGATTTACCTTATGTCAAAATGGTCACTGCAAGAGCCACTCTGGTTTGAGGGCAGAATTGTTAACTGTAGAGCATAATACTCCCCCTCCCAAATAAAGGCATTAATTGACAAAGAATATGTTTAAATTATTCTTTTAGTGAGTAGCATGATTTCCTGCCCTTGTTGCCTGTTGACATCTGAACGATAGAGGATTTTGATTTGGAGTGATCTCAGTTGACTTCCTCTTCTTTGTGGCAGCCTCTCAAATACTGGAATATTGCTATCATGCCCCCCTAGTCCTTCTTTTCTTTAGACTACCCAAACCCAAATCCTCCAACCGTTCTTCATATGTTTTAGCCTCCAGGCCTTTAATCATTTTAGTTGCTCTTCTTTTCATTTTTTCCAAAATGCAAAGAGCCTTGGTGGCATAGTAGTTGGAGTGCAGTACTGTGGACTACTTCTGCTGACTGCCAGCTGCCTGCAATTTGGCAGTTCAAATCCCGCCAGGCTCAAGGTTGACTTCTGAGTTGACTTCCCTTCCGAGGTGGGTAAAATGAGGACCCAGATTGTTGGGGGCAATATGCTGACTCTGTAAACCAGTTAGAGAGGGCTGGAAAGTGGTATATAAGTCTAAGTGCTATTGCTATTGCTAAGTCTCAACATTTTTTTTGTAATGTGGTGATCAAAACTGGATGCAGTATTCCAGATGTGGTCTTACTAAATCTTTATAAAGTGGTACTAATACTTCAAGTGATTTTGATTCTATGCCTCTCTTTATACAACCAAGGATTGTATTAGCTTTTTTGGTGGCTGCTGCACACTGCTGACTCATGTTTAAGTGATCATCCACTAAGATTCCAAGAGCCCTCTCACAGTTACTGTTTTTGAGTCAGGTTTCACCTAATCCGTACTTGTACCTTTGGTTTTTTACAGCCCAGGTATAAAACTTTGCTTTTCTCTACATTAAATTTCATTTTGTTGGATAGGGCCCATTGTTCAAGTCTGTCAAGATCTTAACTCAACTTTGTTGTATAACTTTTTGAAGTTATACAACAAAGTTGAGTTAAGATCTTGACAGACTTGAACAATGGGCCCTATCTAACAAAATGAAATTTTGTGCAACTTTGTCCCATTTGAAGCTAGTTAAAAACCAATCAAAATCAACCATTCTGTGTCTGGTTTGCAATCTGTACTGCACTGATGCTCAGCTCTAGTATCTAGCATATCTCACCTTCATCTGATGATAGAATAATTGCATGCCTCCAGCCTGAAAGAAGCATGATCTTAAAAACAAACAAGAATGAAAAGTTATGCATTGCAATATTTTTTATTCAAAAGTTAAATCTACTGTTTTCAACAGGACTTAGAATACTTTTAGCTTGGTACCAACAGAAGTTAGTTTGCTAAATTTATCAGATTAGAAAACTATCTTCCACTAATTTTCAGAAGAAAACAGAGAGGAAGAAAAGTATTCTGTACTGAGAATGATGGGTCTAAGAATGGAGGCGAGAAGGAAAGGATAAAGCTAACAGGCTTTATTGCTAACAATGGTTGTCGATGAGGCAGCTAACATAGTGCCTGCTCAGCTGTCGACAACAGCTGAGTTCAAGCAAGCCTGCTCTTTTTATACCGGGATGTCATACAGAACATCCAATCAGAAACAAGGGTTCTAGGTGGTGGACCAGAGTGAGAACTGCGAACATAGCAGAAAGATTAATTTTCCAACCCATATAATACAATACTTCTTGAAACCTCCTTAATATTTCTTTCTTTCTTGACAACATCCCCAATTTCCCCCCTTTCATTTCCCATTCTTCAGAGAAGATTTTTTTAGGAAGAGAGATATAACTTCATAGGAGGAAAGAATTAATTCCCATTTCTGTACATGTTGACTCAAAATGCACGATGGAATGTATATCGAATAATTCTCACATTGGAAAGGAGTTCTTTTTCTTTTTAGTTTACAAACAAGAATGCCCACTATATCAAGGTTACAAGCAAACAGTAAAAAAAAATTAAACCAATTCTAAGAACCAATAAAAAAACCGCTAAAATCTAATCAGAATTATTATCAGTATATCATGTTATTTTTATTTCTTTTCAAGTATGACCGGAATGAGCAGTGGCACCCTCAGCAAACTACACGCTGCTAAAATGATGAACAAATAATGATGATTTAAATTCTGCCATTATGTATTTGCATCCAGATATGTGACTCAAATTTGTAAAATGCCATAGTTGCATGATGTTTTCATACACATTTTGCCACTGGCTCCCTCTATCCTCCAGCAGATGCCAGCGCCTATGGAGTTTTGCATTGGGAAAGGAGTTTTGCAAAAGAATGCGCAACATACTTAGGAATTTTTTTTAAAAAGTGGAGTTTTTCCCCCCTAAATCAGAATAAGTAACTCATCTTTACATCAGATTTATATAGCTCTGCCCAACATAGAATATGCAGATTTAAGTTAATTTTGCTACTAAGATTAAAGAATGCAAGGCTGATTAAATTATAGCAAAAATTTGGCAGAAGGTGAAAATTAGAATAAATCACGTTTTTTGGAAAAAATCAAAACAATATCAAGGTGGCTTGCCCGCCTTTAGAAGCCCAAGTATCAGCAAAAGAGAACTAAAATAACTCAAATGAAAAATGAATTATTTCAAGTGTGGTATGAATAATGGCAAGAAGTTGTGACATTTCAAAAGGGGAGCACTAGAAGTATGTAGGCTGACCTTGTCATCCTAATCTCTCCTGGCTGAATACAAAGACAGTGTAAAGTGCAAAGTTTAAGTACTGGGTGCAGTTGGTACTCCAGAAACAATTATAGATACATAATTTTTCACTCCTGTGTGAAGAACCTTTGTTTAATACTCCAAACTCAGTAATGTTTTTATTAGGGGGTTTATCTATATATAAACAAATAATTAACTTGTATGGTTTTTTCTTCTTCTAAGGGATGATCTAAAAGAAATTTTAATGCAATTAATTTAATATATTATGACCAATTGAATTTATTAATAATTAATAATAAAATTAATAATAAAATCAGTAGTGCTGCATTTCTGTGTATCTTATAAAAGAATTGATGCTACTAGACCTAGTAAAGCATATTTCCAAATATTTATATTTACTGGATTGAACAAAATGTCAGAAAAAACTTTTACTCACTGGAAAAAAAAATACCCTGAAAAATCACAAGAGTGTTTGAAGATTTCTCTGCATTTTTAAAAAGAAAGTGGGACTGTGAAGTCTTTCGATTTAATTCCAAAGTTCAATATTTCATGTGCAACTTGGAACAAAAACATAACACTTGCCTACAATACCTTAAAGCAATCTCACAATCCCACAAAAAGACACAGTGGCACTGTTCAGGTTGCCTACGGGTGCTGTATTTATGCTCTCATGCACTCTAAAGCACTCTTTGGAGGCTGACTCTGAAATCCTCAGCGATTAGAAAGGAGTTTTATTTATCTGTTTATTTAAAAAAAATGTATGACTCATGCGTTAAGGTAAACCTTTCAAAAATGGCAAAGGAAATGTCTAATTACAAAACACAATAATAGAATAGAATTTAAAATTAATGCTAAGGCTATTTGAGTTGCAAATATTTAGAAGACATGGGATGGCAGCAAAGGGACACACAATATGTTAACTCTTTGCTGCCTCTCATGGTCGTTTGGTTGCAGCATCCCTATACAAAGTAACCAAACATTCAAGTGAATCTGGGTACAAAATCCAACATGCTGAAAAATAGAAGTAAACACAAAGAGGATTGTAGTGGCATTCAATATTTACAGCTCTCTAAGAGGTGTGGTATCCCAATAAACAGGACCCTAAATTGCACAGAAATTTATATTTGCAGTAAAATGAACCTTGTTATACTTTCTGGCAGTAGATGTGAAGGCCAAAAAGAGCAAGGGTAAGATGCACGTTACCCTCCTTTCATTACCAAAGTTCAAGGCCTCAGGTACTAAATTTCACATTGGGAGCGCAGGTCTGTCTAGATTAGGTGGTATGCTGTCATCTAACAAAATTGAATTTTCCACATAAAATCTGTCTTAATATGAATAATTACAAGTTATTCCATCCTGCCCATACAAAACCTTTTTCTCCAGCTGGGATAACTACAGTTCAATAAAAAAAGTAGGCTTGCTGTCATCTACATATTAATAATATCTCACCTCAGACTGCCAGATGATTTTCCTCAGTAGTATATATTTTGGGTAGTATTATATCTATCAGCCATGCCAACTTTGGAATTATGGATCCACCACTTGGTAGGGAGCCATGTAGTACATCTTTCAAGAATTTGTTCAAGAAAAGAAAATCAAAATTAGAATAGTCATTATTTTAAATAATAAAACTCAACTTAGTTCCTTTAACAAAAGACTCGCCGCACTGTAATAAAATGACAGAGATATTCTGTGACTCAATAGGCATAAGCTGCTTTGAAGTCCTTTATCTCTAGAATTATCAAGATAGGCATGGATCAGGGAAACAAATGGTAATCTTCCATATAAACTATCTAGTTTTTCATACTGACTTGAAAAATATTGATAGAAAACTTTGATACTGATAAAAATATGACTACAGTATGTTGCATGCAGTTATATCAAATTATTTTAGAACAATGGTACATAAATCAGGCTAGATATAAGTGAGTTTCTCTGGAAAATAGATTGCAAATTGTGTGGCTTTAAAGATTCAGATTCCTGCTCATGATTATCTGTATGAAAAAATACTTTCTTACGTGACTCAAGGTATATTTGAAATCCATTAGTAAACCACACCTGTTCTTGGTACTCTGAGAAGATTTTCTGAAAAGCTTCTTAAGTGGTGGCAGGGAAATTACATCTACTTAGCCAATCAGATTTCAAGAATAAGATATCTAAAACATTATAAAACAATTATAGTAATTTATCTTTTAAAAGGGAGGGTTTTTGAAAAAACGCCATGGAGGCAGCAGGCATGTTTTTTTATATGCAAACTTTCTTTGTGCAAGCTTATTTTCCTTTTTGATAAATATGTAATTTCTTTTTTAAAAACTATGCTTTGGAAATAGGGTTTATATCAAACTACATCTTTACAGAAGCTTGAAAATCAAAGATGTCCAATGTTTTATCTAAGGTAGGATTCCAGGTAACACTGCAGTTGTTAAGAAGTTCATTTTATATTGACCAAGCAGTGGTAGAAATGTTTCACATTATAACCCACAAGGTATCTGGTTATAGGTGTGCCAGTGTGTGTTTTTTTTAAAAGACAGCATTGAATTCTCCAGTCTCTTTCCATAAAACATAAGGGTTGAAAATATACAGATATGAAACAACACAGAATGCTTTTTTTTCTTTTCCTCTTCTTGACTAATCTTCTCTCTCCCACCAACAACTGATAATAGAACATTTGCTGTTCACAGATAATTACCCTTTTCTATCAGCTTCAAAAGGAAAACAAAATTGGCTTCTTTAAAATAAGCATAAAAGCAGCCATCACACTAGAAAATGCATGGACTGAACTTGCAGTGTGTCTCACTGAGCCCACCGTGAGTACCAGATAAATATTTTATTCCAGAAGAGGCTGGAAGACAAGAACAAGAGGGACATCCAGCCAACCCAATGCTATGGCCTCCTTCAATTCATTTCATTAGATAGTGAGTTCCATGGAGAAGTTCAATCTTTTACTTATGTCCCTCCATAAAGTGCCATGTCTTGGAATGTGCTATATTAATTAATAATCCATCTACATTCTTTTGGTTGAGGAGATAAGGTACAAATGAGGATTAAATTTGTGTGATTTTTACAATCATTCCAAAAACAGGCTTGGCTGGTATATTTTTTTTCAGTTCCTGTATGACCAGCACAATTTATCCAAATCTCTTCATAGCTATGTACAAATGACCTGTTTTTAATTTAACAGTAGAGGAAGGAACTCATAGCAGGAAGTGGCAAAGTTTATTAACTGTGCTGCCCGTCTCCTGACTTTGAAAGGATAGAACAGGGGTTCCCAACCCCTGGTCTGTGGACCAGCACCGGCCTCAGCATATCAGAAATCGGGCTATGCAAACAAGTGAAGTCCCATCCACAGGATGCAGGTAGCACATGAAACCATGCCCCCTCCAATCCATGAAAAAATCATGGAACCAGTTCCTGGTGCCCAAAAGATTGGGGGCTATTGGGGTAGAAGATTTAGCCCAATGCTACTGGATCTAATTAAGGCCTCTCTCCCTTTGTAACATGAACCAGATGGATTACTTGGAAAAGCTTATAAATATGTCATGAAGGTAAAATCATTCTGGTTTTCTCTAATACTTGGAATTCAAAGGAAAACTTACATTAAACAACAAAACTATTTATCATATCTAATAAGTTTTTAAAAATAAAAAAAATCTGATGTTTCCAAAACCATTTAAGTTAGTGGTTATTTCCATATCTTGTAATAATCAATTGTGTAAGTCACTGTGGAAAATGTTAATTTGTAGACTATATCAGGATGGGAATATTCATTATCCTATCACACAACTAAAAGCATTGAAGTCATTGTTTTGTTTATCCTTCTCATTCTATCACTATGCTTTCTAAACCAATAAGCTAGAGAGATCACAAAAATGCTAAAGAAGATTCTGCAACATCATTGTTGCTTAAAAGGAGAAATGAAGTGAAAAAGAAAAAAAACATTGGCAGAGAGCAGGTTCTGTCCCCTCTTTTCCAGATTAAACCATTACTGCAAGCAATCCATCAGAAGAAAAGAAAATAGCAAGCATTCTGCTTAAATACTAATACACCCAGCATGGAAGGGAATGAAGAAAGATCATTGGCATTTAACGTGTTATGAGATGTGACTCAGAGGTAGTGTGAAACTAAAGATCTTTTCTCAGACTTGTGATAATCTGCTTGTCTAACTAGAAACCTACAATGTTGCAATTGCTGCTGCACTGGGTGAAAAGACAGAAGACAATATAAATCCTCTGGGTGTAGTCACAAGCACCATGGAATCCTGAGATTTGATGTACATCATTTCCTCACCACTAGGCTTGGGTGCACAATAAGAATTTGAGGGAAAAAGTGGTCAGGGCAACTCTTGCAGTTCAGAACAGTAGAAAAAGAAAAAAAAAACTATTGCAATGAGCCTTGCAAGGAGAAACACTGTCAAACTGGGGCTTCCATTCTTCTATCACCATTGGTTCTATGAAAAGCATTTCTAAAACTCTAGCCTACAATCAGCAATTGTGGCTATATTAATCACTGGATGAGATGTTGGGGCAATCAGCCAAATTCCTCACAAGCTCCTCTTGACTAAACATTTAGACTGACTCACTCTCTCTTTCTTTTTTTTAACCTCTGGTTTGGAAAAGCCATTTAAACTGTTATCTTGTAGAAATACTAGAATTTTACAGTCATATATGTAAGGTCTGGTGTGTAATTTACTGATTCTCCATGTTCTCCAATCTTCATTAGTATATGTTCCATTAAAGATATGCTAATGAAGATTGGATAACATGGAGAATCAGTAAATCCCAAAGTAAATGATTTCTAGAATAAATGGATATGTTTAAGAAGGGATTCCTCTCTATTTGGAACCTGTTGTGGATGTTAGGCTACAAGTTGAGGTTCACATCTGGCCAATTCACTCACAGACAGGTACAGACCTAGAATCAACATCTTCATGAGGGAGAAGTGCTTTTTGTCACCCATAAACAGTGACACTTGTCCCTTCTTGCTCGAGATTAAAAAAAAATCTGAATCTTTTAGAATAAGGTAAATTTGGAAGGCAAAATTGGAGAGGAAGCAGTTAGATGCTGATACTGAAAAAAAAGACTAATCATCATACCTGTCATCGCTCTTTTGTGGAGGAGTGTATTTGTCCTTTTCTGATCACCATTAGCAGTAACAGCATGAAGATATACGTAAGAGACAGAAAAGAGAGAGAATATCAGCAGGCTGAGTTGTTGGAATAGAGACTGCAAGTAGATAAAAGCTGTGCTTTGGAAACAGAAGCACCCAAATGCACCCTGCAGGTATAAAGGTTGGCAATCTAGAATCCCAGTAGAAGAAAAGAATCTAAACTTGCAGTCTAGCAATTCTCACACACAGTTGAACTACTGTGCTGTTCATCATGTTGCCTTTTCTTTGCTCTAAGAAAAGAGGATGGTGAACAAGAGTTGTGATACTGCTGAGGAGCTAGTGTGGTGGAAGCTGAAAAAGAGGGTTAACAGAGGGAGGAAAGATGGCTGTCTAATTTGTGTAGAGGATGAAATAAGAGATGAAATCTCATAGACACCAGCAGAAGCTTGCCAATCCTTTTTTTGATCTCTGCCCCTCTCTCCCTAAGATGCAGGATGGATGTGGCTATTCCTTCAGATGAATGAACTGTAGCAGATGAGGTAGTCAAACTGTCACCATCAGTTCTTGTATAGAAGGATAACCCCATTCACTGGGACTCTGTATGGGCAGAACAGGAAATCATTATTATCCAGGAATAAACATCAAATAAATGGTTCCAGGGTTCCAGATTCTTGGAAAAATCTCCAAGCTTGTGCCACAAGTTATTAGGATCCATCTGACTTCTGAGGTTGATCATTCTAATCAGTCCCCCAGACAGTAAAGGTCATGAGCAATGAGGAGCCTCATTCAAACAAGGAGTGATCTAGTCACTTGTGTAGTGCAGTGTCCTAGAACTGTGTAGTTACAATTCTAGGACAATAGTAATCAAGACAGGAAAATCTCAGATAATAGATCAGCCGCTTCAGGTTACACAAAGCTAAGACCTATCTCCCAAAGGTAGAAAGCATGAATATGAGAAAACAACCTCAGAGAATAGGTATAACTTAAGGTTATACCACTGAGCCAAAGCAACATTAGGAAGAAATTTTATAATCCTTGAGCATCTGTATTTTCCCTGCCAATTTTACTTTTTCAACATTGAAACAAATGTTCTCTTTCCTTGATTCTTTGAGTCTTCTCAGCAAAGGGGACTCAGAAACCAAAAAAATGTCTAACTTTCTTTTTCTAAATCTCATTTAGGACAATGTTATATTTATAGCATTTTTAAAACAACAGCTTCCCAACTTTTTAGGCTGTTTTCGAACCTGTTAACAAAAAGAATGCCAGCAGCCCTGATCAACAGGCAAAGCTCTAATGATAGAACATTTTCTGCCTTTGAGTAAACACTTCTACCACAAAAACACCTTTCAAAAAGTTTGACTCGATCCTCAGCTAGCCAGCAGGCCATTCATTTAAGAATTACCAGATACCTGCAGGGCTTTACATCTACTACAGAGAAGTACTCAAACAGCTTCAGCTCCTTAGTGAGCTTATACTTCTGTTTTCTTCTCCTGAATGTACTGTATTTTTCTTTGTGTGTCTGATCCAGGCATTCATTTCTCATATTCTCTTTTACATTTTCTTATTACAGAATATTCTTTTTTTACAGGAAAATATCACTGTGCGATAGGGGGAAAAAAGTCTTCCAAGTTGAACTCTGGTCCTATTGGCTTCAAAGCCGTGTCCATGAACCCTTTTAAATGGTTTTGCTACTGATTTTTTTGACTTCCCAGTTTAGCCTACATCCCTGTCCAAGTTCTAACCAGGGCAAGGCCATTCATAGAAATCCAAAACCTCTAGACAGCTCACAGAGATGTGGGATTGAAGCAGGGGTGAAATTCAGCAAGTTATGACAGGTTCTGGAGAACCGGTAGTGGAAATTTTGAGTAGTTCAGAGAACCAGCAAATACCACCTCTGGCTGACCTCAGATTGGGGTGGGAATAGAGATTTTACAATATCCTTCCCCCAGGAGTGGGGAGGGAATGGGGATTTTGCAGTATCCTTCCCCTGCCATGCCCACCAAGCCACACCTCCAAGCCACACCCCCAAGCCACACCATGCTCCCCAAGCCACGCCCACAGAACCGGTAGTAAAAAAAATTGAATTCCACCACTGGATTGAAGCTTCATTCCGTGCTCAATTGTGTATGATTTGTGTGTGAAAAAACAACCAGAGCTTCAATTGCATTGAATTGTCATGCACATCTTTTTCTACTTGGTTGTGGATGCCGCTGAACTACGACTACTTAACCTCGGAGCCCAAACAAATAGAAATAAAGTGTAAATGGGGTATTAGGGCAGATCTGAAATAATTTACTTAAGTTCTTACAAATATATAGGAAGAAGAATTCTTAGCAATTTGTTGTCATCTCAAATGAATATGTCTTCTTTCTTCTATAGTTATTTCCCCAGGCAACCAGGACTTTCTTTTTTAATTTCATTGTCCTCCATTTTATTCACACTTAGTACAGTGTAATTAAATGGGCCATGGCAGTCCACATGATCTTTTTGAAGATATCATAAAATTAGGTCAGGATATGGGTAAGAAAAAGAACCAGAATCAGTCATGATATCAAGTTCCTGTTGCAACCCAAGGAATAAAAAAACTCCACCCCTATTAAATAACGTCAGCACATAAAGGTAACAGGTGTGACAATTTGTTCAGCTGCATGGAATATGCAAATTTTGAAGCAAATTTTGAAATTAACAAATATTTGGAATAACCCAGTCATGATTGGGCTTGGTTTGACTTTCCACAAAGGAAATTTCATTCCAAATACACCAACACTAATCAACAGAAAATTGCACAGAAAATCATTTTATAAGACATCTATCTTTTGTAAAAGTGCGCAGGAAAATGGGAAGAGAAAGTTCTGAAGAGAAATATAAACAAGCAAACAACATGCAGCTTCCCTTAGGGTTTTAATACAAGTTTATGATGAAAAGGCACCCAAGTTTTAAACAAAGCCAAATATCAGTAGAGCTCAGCCCTGAAATAAGGTTTTGTGATAGGGCATAGCTTTAAACCATATGAAACATGAAACAGAAAAGAACAATGACATCTTTTATAGCTTCTTCTAATCACTGGGTGAATGAACATATAGGAAATTCTGAAAGAAGCTCTGAAGCCAGTAAAATCTTCATAGTAAACTTTGCATAATTTTAGATTGTCAATTACTCTGACTAATGCAAATCTGTGGAAAATGTGGATATTCCTGCTCTAGCAAAATATTTGCACATTTTTGAGGGAAGCTTGAAGTGTAATGATGACTAGAATTACTTAGGGACTGCAGGCAGATTATATGTATAAATCTTTACAACCAGCAGCAATTAAAGTTTGGTGAATTTTTTTCTCTCTAAAGGGATATTATACATTAGTTACTGAACCAAAGCATGAATTGTACTGCTGTGTAAACATCTACAAAGATTAAAAGCATGAAGCATTGCATAATATCAGGAATATCATGCAGACTAAATAAATAAATTATGAATATAAAAACTTGGAAGAGAGTTTTAAATTAATGAAGTTGTAATTAACAGATGCTTAATTACCCACTTCAAATCTAGAGTGGCTCATTACTTTATTTCTACCATTTCAAAAAATTGCTGTCCAAAGATTAAGTTATATAATGGTGGAACTTTACCGAGTTCCCCATTTATTTTGTGATGCCACACTGAAATACAGAATATGACACACTGACAGTTGTACCCTAGAGTGAATGTTGGAAAACAAAAAACAAACACAAAACCAACCCACCAACTAAAAGGATTCTTTAAAATAATGAACAAATATGATTATGTGTTGTATTTCCATTTTATAATACTATTTTGAATACTAAGAACTTGAAATTCACTTAGTATCCTTGGGCAGGAAATTAAAATAAGCTCTCATATCTATATCAAATCAAAGATACATGTATGATATACTCCTTCATAAATAAACCTGAGTGAGATAAACCCCAAGAGATTCCAGAAGAATGTTTATGGTTTGTTACATAAGAATAAGGTATGGTTAGAAATCAGTTTCAGATAATTTGATAGCAGCAAAGCAGAATCTGGGATAGAATTGTGCTCTTACCAGATTTGAGAAGAATGAAATATGAATAAGTACCTGACAACAACAAAAGCAAACAAAAGCAAAAGCAAACAAAACTAGTGAAGTCTAATAACAAGACCAGAAGAGAATGTTATAATTAGTTTTTAATTTTTTTTCACTGGGTCAAGCAATTATCCTAAATGACAAGTTTAGGCCATTATAAGGAGCATAAGATGCAGACAAATTAAAATTGAAGGAACCTATCCTGATCAAAAAGAGAGTGTTCCAATGAGCTATGCTTTTCAGCAGCAAAACGCTGCTGAAACTTTCCAAGTAAAAGGCATGAGTTTGACATCTCCATCTAAAATCAGCAACTCCATAGTTTGGCTAGTTTATAGTTTATGCCCAAGCCTTTTAGCATGATTATTTATTAGCCAACATTTCTATGGTGAGAAAAAGCTGTTGAACAATTGCAATGCCACCCACCAAAATGTCCTACCATTTCCTGATCTTCTGACAAGTTGATAAAGCACTTTTGGTAGAATGATATTACATTATGGCATTCCCCATATCAACATGGCATACTATTTTTAATGTTAAGAATAGGAATTAATATATATTATTCCATTTTAATCCAACTGTAGAGTATCCAGGACCAGATGGATATACTGTAGGGCTATGTGCTAAATTTGAATGAGAGAGTTGTAAATCTTATTAAGTGGCCCTTGGCAATTATTCTGCCTTTTCTATAGGTATTTCCAAAATGCACCTAATTAAAATTAATTAATAAATACAGTAGATAATTGCATAGTTATTCCATTAATGCTTCTGACAACTTGATTTTTCACATACAATGTAAACCCACATGCAGTAGCCCAAGGAAAATTAAAATAATAAGTCTGGAAGTCAAGAGGGTGATTTGCGAACAACAGGTATTTTGGGAGTAGTGCCTCATTTGTTTGTTTGTTTTAAAGAATAGGCACCATGCTAGACAAGAGAACAGATTTTGCAACATGATTAGCCTCCAACAGTGACTGTGTCTCTATCTGGCACCCACATGCTTCACTCTGACAAAACTGTGCCAGCCAAAAGTATTATTTACTAAGAAAAATGACCAGAATTTTAAAAGTTACGAGGCTCATTTTGAAAGAGACACGTGTATCTGCTAAACTCTTTTTTCTTCTACGCTTTGTGAAAAAGCTGGAATGTCTAAGTCATTTTCATAAAATTAGGATTTATTACCAGTCATTACTCAGCTTGCTGCCAAATGTCTTCCAGAGAAACAACAGATGAGGAAGAAGAATGATGCCCTTCAAACCTTGGAGCTTGTAGAATAAAAGAGCTAATTCTCAATGGGAGTCAGATGAAACCTCTCAGTGTGTATTACTTAAGATCTTAGCCTCAGAATTTATATTTGAGTTCTGATGTCACAAATACCATCATAAGGATTGTTCTGAGCATGACCAGCATGAAGTCTCTCTCTGCTAAAGTGATTTTATTGGCTCCTCCATTTGCTTTCTCTTTTCTCAGTTACTTAGTGCTTGAAGATTCTTAGCTTAAGGTAATTGAGAGCTTTTTCTGACATCTGAGTTGTTTAATCATTGATACACGGTTATTATTTATTTAAAATTCATGACATATAAGGAAACAAAATGGAAATGGTCTTTCTGTGGCTAAGGGGATAAAATTCTGCATCCTTTCTACAAAGAGAAGAAGAAGGATTTCAAGAGAAGCTAGTTTGAAGTTATTTGAGAGAACTATTTGGGGGACACTTAATGAGATGATTAAAAAATGCAGTGCAGATTCAGTTGTACCAGGGTTCCCAGTCATAGAAAGGTTAAAGAAAATTTGTTTGGGTTTGTTTTATTAAAAAATTATATTTATATGCTTAACTTTAGAGCTATCACCCTAAATTTCACACATTGGCAAAGTCCCAAACTTATAGGAAAAAAATGCTTAAGGAGATAAAATCCTGCTCCTGGGAAAATCTATACCCAAGAAGGACTGTCCTGATAATCTACAACGATTGTGAGGACTCTTGACTCCTCCACAATTTTGAAAAAGGCAGATTTGTTTTTCAAAGGCATCCAAGAAGGGGATTGGGCACAAACTGATTGCTTTCATTATACAGTAACTATATAAAAAAGGAAGGTTTTCTCCTTTGTATGTCACTGAGGACATTTAGATGAGTACAAACAATCTGTTCTTAACTGCAACTATTTTATATCCTCTGGGCTAGAGTTTGATTACTTTTAATTTATAACCAACATCCTTAAATATTAATGTTGCATTTTATGAAGGCATCATGTGCCAGCCAATGCAAAACAGCTAAGCAAATATAAATTTGAAAGATTATTGTCATGTCAACATATTCCTAATAATAGTCAGGAATCAGGTAAGTAATTAGCTGGAAAACATTTAAGACCGATTCCTTAGCTAAGTGAAGTGCAAATGGGAAAGAAATGTACTCAGAGCTACGAGAGTTGACTGTAATAGCTCAGGGGTGTAAGAGCCAAAGAATTCCACAAGGTGGACTGAATGTTAAGCTAAGGTTCGAATGCAAGCCAAGAAATGAGAGGGATGGACATGTAGGTCTGGAGTCGGGGAGTTGTTTGCAATGGAAATGCAAGGTCCTGGAGATTGATCTTATATAGCTGCAGATACTGGGGTGTCTTGATTAGGGATGTGGCTCGGCTGACCTCTCCTATCAGGGACATTTTTGTTCAGCCTTTCATAGTTTCAGACCTGCTCTGAAGCTGAGACCTGCCAGAATCTGATCTTTCAATATCTGAATCAGTTGCCATTTGCTCAATTGAAGCTACAAGCTGATCTGCTTCTCAGCTTCTGACTCAGGGAATTCAGACCAGAAGAGATACAATGACTATTTCCTCCTTCAAGAGTATTGTTTCCACAATGCAACCTAAAATTATTTCCCAAACAGATAAATGATGAATAACAACCTGTTTTCCATAGGCACAACTATGTTTGGTAGGTCTGTAGCAAAGGCTGATGCTTGTTCCAAGTTTACTGCAGGAGAGTTTGGCCTTTGGTTGCCTGTCTTGTGGCATAGAAGGAGGTTGGTACCTTTCTGCAACTTTGAAATTTTAGGATGACTGGTAGCTGGAGCTAGAAATTTCTCTGGTAGAGAAGATTGAGGTGCTCCTCCTTGGACTTATACAAAAGCCTGATTAATCTCTCCTTTGCTCTCCTTACTTTACCATGTTGCCTCTCCACTCTCTGCTTGGATTTTGGCTCCCTCTCATCTCTGGGGCTGGCTGAAAGAGCTGCCTGTCAAAAGATTTCAGCTCTCATCAATGTGTGGGAGTGCAGGATCTTCAGCTCCATTTCTGTACCCTATTACAGATGCTCAGCTCCTCTGGCAGACAGCTCCTTCAGTCAGCCCTCAGAGATGAGAAAAAATCCTCTTGGCATATGGCAGCAGCTTGAAACCTTCCTTATAACCAAAATTGTAATCTTTAATTAAATCACTATATAGATAAAAATAAATTTCTAATTTCTAATCTGATTTTTGAAAAAGTGATATCTGTGGAAGGCCAAATGGTTCAGGGATTAATTCAAAACACCTTAAAATCTAACTTCAAAACTGAATATTGCATAGTTCTGATATAAAGCTAAGGATGACCAAAACATTTAGTAGTAAAAAGTCTCTGAAGCCTTTCCTAAGAAAAGAATAACAGCAAGTTTTCAGTTAGACAAGACAGCTCCTAAGACTCAAATTTCTCTTCCAGAAGAATATTTGGGTGATCATGAAAAAGAGCAGAATACTGCATCTCAATATATTCTAACACTTCATCTATTTGATGTTAGAACATTTAGAAATGCAGGAAAATACATATTTATGTATTCATACATCTTTATATGGCCATTATTTGTTCATTGTGGCCTAAGCTCTGGATCCTTTAGTGCAAAAGAGCACTTGAAAACCTAACCAAATTAGAGGCATGCATATTTAAACAGTAGTTTAAACATCAGTAAACATCTGTAGTAGCATTTACATAGGTATAAACGGGTATAAAAGATAGGGGCTCTGGGCTCTGCTGTCCCTAGATTGCCAGGTAACAGCTGGATCTAAAAACATCATCAGTTAATTAGGAATTCTCAAATGGTACAGGGATATATTGTGTTTGCATATCCTAATTTTTTCAGTGATTAAAGGGATAGATTGCCTTGCAAAATTGTCTCATGAAAAGGATAGTTGCCTACACTCGGTGCAAGCAAAGTGACAGAAATGATTCAATTTTCCACCCGCCGTGCTTTTTAAAAAATGAAATTTACAGTACCTATGACTGCACAGCCTCTTCTGCAAAAGAAAAGCCAGGTACTGACAAACGTATAAAAATGTTATTATTGTGTTGCCATTCCTGTTGTAATGTTAGTTTTTAGAAAATGTACATTTCAGCAAACTTGATATGGTCTCTGTATTGCCCGCAATATACTTTTTGCTAAGTCATATCTCTGCCATAAGGTAAGTTACAGTGCTATCAAATGATATTTGCTGAACACATTACATGAGAGAGAACAAGGAGGCAATTTGTCATTTAATGGAATTTCTAACCTAAGAGAGAACAGCTTTGCATTGTTGAAGGTGATCATTTGGGAGACTTTCAGCAACTTGATGTCATCTTTTTAAAATCAATATTTCATGAACATTAAGAAACCAAGTTGTGAAGTATATCAAATGTTCTTTTTTAATAATTGGAGCAAAGAATGTGGAATGCCTGTTCACACCATTTAGCATCATGCAGTTAATCAATTATTCTGTTTATTTTGTGGGTCCCCTCTTCTCCATTTGTACCTTATATGTTTCTCTATGGTTTTCTTAATTCTTCATCAATTTATTATTTCTCCTAACTATATCAATTTCATTGTTGTCATTAAGTTCACCAAAAAAGGCTGATGATGAACGAGGCCAAGGGCAATATCCTTTTCACTTTTTTTTCCTACTGCTGTCATGAATCCATTACTCTTACAGCTGTTATAGTTCCTTTGAGTTGCACTACTTCCCCCTCAATCCTCTATGCTCAGAGGACTTCAAAAAAGATAACAAGGGGAATCTTTCCTCCTTTCTTATCTTTTGATGTTGCATAGAAACCCCACCTCTTCTCATGTTCCACTTTAGAACTTATATCTTACATCTTTCTTGTGCTTCTCATAATTTCAGTTGTCTGGTCCAGCCTTTTCCCCATCATTATGATGTCCTGCGCTAAGCACATTGGGCTACAAGTGTACTCCACAGTTCTTGGTCCACAGCCTTCTCCTACCTCTACATAAATTGGGACAGGAATCCTCAGAGTTATCAGTTCCCATTAACAGTAGTTTAAGACTCCATCTTTATATCCAAATATTTTGTGAGAAGTAGGTATAATGGTAAGAAGAAAGCTAAAATAATGAAGGAAAACTCTTGGTTGTGTGTATACATTTCTCCCAGAAGTGACTCTCAGGCAACTATACAAGTGTCACTCCCAGTACAATGTAGGGCCTTATCTGGTTAGCTTTCCAACAAACGCAATGATGATTTTTCCAAAGATAGAGCTGTAGAATTCAAGTATTATATCCTTTCTTCATACTTCCTAATTCCTTGCTCCCAGATTAATAGATCGTAGAACACCTCCTCCTTCCCCAAGTCATCTGGAAAGGTCACTTGTATTTTGCCTTTTTTTTTAAATTGGAGAATTAAATCAAGCTTTGGTAAAATGTAAATTTCAATGTAGTTTGTGTTTTGATTTGAAAGATCAAGCTTATGTACTAGAATGCCTCAGTTTGCAAGATATTCCTTGAATTTTTGTCATAGCTTTTGTTGTTTTAAGCATGGCTTTAAGGTAATGTTGCAACAAAGGAAACAAGTCTATTCATGCTGGTGGGAGATGAAGTCTACCATACCCTTGTGAATTCTTATTCTAAAAATAATAACATTTTTCAATCCCCAAAGAAATACATCGTTGAGAATAAGCTGCAGAATCTGAAATAGCATTAAGTGAATTTGTTGAGGAAACTGTTTCTAGAAGAATGCTCCTCTTGCAGACTGCAAGAGTATTAAGTTGGTTACTAGCTACCTATATTTTGTATTGATGATAATGCACTTATTGCAAAGCTAGAAGTGAATCAGACTGCACATTAAATCTTTCCTGGAGAAAGCCTTTGATGCTCGGTATTTCTGTCAGTTTTCTCATTCCACCTAACCTTAAAGCAGGCACAGCATTAGGAATCCTGGAAAATAGCTGACTTTGAAAGGCATTGAATCAAGTTCCTTGATTATTGAACAACAACAATCATAGATGAAAAACTGAACCTTCACTTGAATGGTGGCATCTTTAGTCAGATGGCCTGTATTCTTTTTGTGTTATT